CACTTTTTTTGAAATTACATAAAGACTATGAGAGGCAGGAGCCAGCAATTTATGGTGAGTGAAGCTAGAGTATAGACCTGTATTTTGCATGTTTCAATTTAAGTTTAATTTAGCTAGTAAAAAAATGGCATCATTTATAAAAAAAAAGTGGTCTAAGTTACCCCATTTTACGGTATTTCCTATGAATAAACCAAGTCAAAGTAACAAAATAATTTGTTTTAATTTTAGATTTTGACAAAATATTTCCAACTTCTATCAGAAATAACATAATTGATCATTCTCTTGTGCTAAATATACAAATGATAGTCGATTAGTTGGACTCGGATACTGTCAACAATGATCATTCCACTAGATTATGCACCGGGAGGCGAGAAAGAATCTATACGGTATCAGTTGCATGCTTGCTCTCGTGATATGTAGTTCCACTTGCCTGAATTGCATGTTTAGTGTGCATCATGGAAAACTCTGCTTTGCAGCATAGATGTAATTATACTTTATGAAGTTTAGTTCATTGCAGTCAACTTAAGAGACAAATCTTCAACTAACTGATACTTTTTATAGGTTTAATTTTAATTGCTGAGTGAAAGGTGCAGGCATGGCAACTTCCAAGTGATTACTTTATAGCAGGGTTGGTGATTTTTTTTATTTTTTTTTAAATCAAAAAATCAAAAATCAATGATTTTTTAAATTTTTTCATGATTTTTTTGATTTATTTGATTTTTTGATTTTTTCAACTTTTTTGTCTTTTTGAAGTGTTATTTTTTATGTTGCAATTAGCCTACTAACAATAACAGTATATGGATCATAATGGATGGCTATAAAGGGCACTTATTGCCTTCAATAATGGCCAACAGGCCAAGGTGGCGTTTACCACTTAGGGATTTTTGGGTAAACAATTATTATTGATACCGTAAGTCTATTCATTAGCTTTGTAAAGTTTGTATGGAGCAAGGTAATGAGCTAAATATTGACCATTTAACTGGCTTCAATATACAAAAACACTTCAGGAATGCAGATCTTCTAAACATTGAAGAATCACATAACAGATAGAAAGCTGATAGCACAGTGCACAACACTATCAATAGATCTACTAGTTTTATGTCCTATGAATCTAGCTGACTCTACGCTCTAAACACACTGACTAGTAGTGACTTAGTGACTGACTGCACTGTTCCCATTTGATTCAGACCAATAAACCAATACTAAACATAAACTGAATGATAACCAAATAAACCTCAAACATCATGAAATGAAACTTTGTCATGAGAAAAGCTAACACTGTTTGAAATAAACATGTGCACAATTCAAACATTTTATTTCTATTCACTGCATTTAATTTTTTTATAGTTTTATAATTGTAATTGTTTTCTTTCTAGTTTTAAATTTACATATATAAAGATTGAAATTAAATATTTTAATTAGAATACTCATACCTATTAGGGTTGAAAATCTTTCTAATTGCCTCAAAGGTCAATACAATCTCAACCTCTCAATATATAAGGTAGCTAACACATTTAAATTGTATATTGTAATTAATATATAACAAATAGTCAAATACCGTAGTTAGTTGAGGACTACTTAGAGCCTTAAAAGAATTAGCTAAGCTGCTAGCTATGTACACTATTGCAACACTTGATGCCTCTGTACCAAAAATGTGTATACACAATTCATTGGAACCTAATACACACTAAAGGCTACAGGTTTATATTCCAATTTGTCATATTATATTCTTGATTTTTTATTTTTTTATTCATTCAACTTTTTTGTCTTGGTGAAATGTTATTTTTTATGTGGCAATTAGCCTACTAACAATAACAGTATATGGATCATAATGGATGGCTAAAAAGGGCACTTATTGCCTTCAAGAATGGCCAATATTCTAAACCATGAATATAATGCCTCAAAATAAATTAATGACATGCCACTTAATATATTTATATACCTACTGGTATATGAAAAAATAAAAAACAAAAAAATCATGATTTTTTATAAAAAAATCAAATGATTTAATCACATGATTCAATCAGTTTGATTTAATCATTGCCAACCCTGATTAATATTGCTTACAGAAAGTATGATGCATTTCAACAATTAATTAGTAAATAGTTTTGAGATTCCAAATCAACATGACGAAAATTCTTTAAGCAAAACAAATTGTTTTCTTATCTTATCTGAAGATCTGAACTACGTTTGGGCAATGCTCTATTGGCGGAAAAATGTTTTCTGTATGAATCCAAGCTGATTCTGAGGTAAATGCAGATGCAGTAAAATGAGGTTTGTTTTACTTGTCCTCCTGTTTTTAATGATATTAAAATAAATATAGTTCTGAATATGAAATTATAATGAAACCTAGTGCTCTCTGAGGTGTTCTGATGCCCAACCCAATTCAACCTTGCAATGGATGGATTTAAATTTTATTGAATTAGGTTGGCTTGAATTGGTATTGGGTTGGATTAAGTTGAATTGGATTGAATTGAATTATGTTGGATTGAGTTGAATTGGGTTAAGTTGAATTGGGTTGGATTGAGTTCTTGGGTTGAATTAAATTGGGTTTGATTGAATTTGGTTTAATTGGGTTGAATCAGGTCAGGCTGGGTTGAACTGAGTTGGGTATGGATAAATTGAGCTGAATTAAGCTGGATTGAGTTGATTTTTTTTTAATTTGGTTGGGTTGTATTGGATTGGATTGAGTTGAATTGGGTTGGATTTAACTAAAGTGGGTGGAGTTGAATTATGTCAAATTTGGTTGTGTCGATTTAGGTTGGGTTGTGTTTGGTTGAACTGCACTCTGCAACTCAATTGAATATTATCAGTAAAATTATTTATCACAAGCTGCTTTGTTATCCATTGCCAGTGCTGTGAGGCTCTCTGGACATAAACACTCATATATACACTCTGCCATTGGAACTATGCACTACAGGCTACAGCATGTAGTTCTGTGGGCTGTGAGCACATTATGCTTGGATGCTCAAATATAGGTGCTCACAGGCCACTGCCAGCGCAACTACGTGCCACAACTCGTAGCTCCAATTATAGCAAACTGGGTAATTGTAATTCCGGTCATAGCAAATTTTATAAATGAATGCTTTGCAGTCTGGGAGCTCCAGGTTGCAAAGCATGGCACAACATAGGTTAAGGATGTTGATATAATTTCCTCAAAGATGCCAAGGTTTGATCAAGGAAGATACTGTAGCAGTTGTCAATTATGCCTCTCCATAGATGCAATTCATGGCCAATATGGGTAATGCTTGGTGATCAGCATGGAGATATGCGCTACCTATAGCCAATTCACAATGTTTGGCTCAGATGTATGTGCATTGCGATTGTTGCAGTGGTCAGATAGAAGCAATAAAATCAAGCTGAATATATGCATGGTAATGGCAGTGTTGAACAATCAATCCATAGTTTGTAATCAGTATTTGGTCATGGATGCCAATTTAAGATCAAGATTGGTGATGGAGAGCCTAAAAAGATGCCAATATCTCAAGATGCTAGAAGGCCTTAATTTGCAGCCTGGCTATAGCTTTCCTGCAATTTTTGTAGTCAGAAAAATACCTCTGCAATGAATTGTCATCATTCTAATTGTTAAGTGAAGGGCTAATTTGGAATATGGGCAGAAGTTTCCTAAACTCGAGGGTAAAAATGATTTTTTCATGGGTAATTTTTGAAAACCACAGGTAAAAATACTAAAATAGACAGATTTTTCCTGAATAATTTGAGAAAAGGCCATAGGAGCTGGTGGAATTGACAGATTTACAGGCTTCTTTGTCAAATTCATAGGTGGCAATGCCCAATTTTCCACTTGGGCTAAACACGATCAAGCCACCAAATTACAAAGTTATCAGAAAGTTGTCATGTAGGAGTTGCGAGATTTTAACATCAAGTAGAAAATTTCCAATCTTGATCACCAGTAGCTCCTGAATGATTGTATTATTTGGTATGGGTAGTTTGAATATGAAAGTTATCACAGATTGCTATTGTATTAAGGATTTTCAGAATTTGCTCAAAAAGAAATAAGTTGTGTCTAATACCCAAGTTCAAAACAAGATTGAAAATTTCCTATATAATATTAGAATCTCATGGTTTCAAAAGGACATATTTTTTGGTAACTTTGGAATTTTGCAGCTTGATTGTATACCTATATAAGTACTTTTGTTACCAATTATTTAGGAGACATGATTCATCTTGCAGCAATCTTGCAGCTCTATAAATTTTGCAAAAGCTCTGGTATATAAAGAGAATAAATGTATTCATTGCCTGGTTCATATAAAACTACCGTATGTTTTCTCTGCTTCAGATGACTGGACTTGATGTATCAAAAGAAGAAATTATGGAGGCTGCTGTTCTGGTAACAGATGGGGACTTGAACATTGTTGCTGAGGGACCCAACCTTATCCTAAAAGTGGACTCTTCTGTGTTGGACAACATGGGGGAATGGTGCAAAAATCAGCATGGCGAGGTACCAATACATGTGAATTTCAAGCCCACAGCAATTAAACATTGCATAGTTGTAAATCATGAAAAGGAAACTATTCCAAGTTTGATGAGTCTCCGAGTATTTATTAAAATATTTCTGCATATGAATAATTATTTTGGTGTGTAGTTATGCACCTGTGTGCATCAAATGGTACGGTGGTCAGCCATTATCATATAAAACATTTATTGAAGGTTGAATTACTGATTGGTAGTTTGGAATATACTTGAAATATTTTCTTCAGCAATATCCATGATATACCTACTGAAAACAAAAATGTTGATTATTTATATATATTACGTAAGGTATTATTATTTCTGAGGATTTTTGATGAAGAGGTATCTCCTGATTAGAGTTATACTCGTTATTCTAAGAAGATACCAGATGTTGCAAGTTATGTTATATATATTTTTATGTTTTAACTTAAGTTTTACTTATAAAAAATTTTCTTTATAGAGTGGACTGACCGCCAAATGCCGAGCCAGTGACGTGACTCTAAGTTCTGCACAAGAGCAGATGCTGGAATTTGTTAAGGAGCACACACAAGCTGGTGGGTTATAGGCTTATTCAGACTCATCTGCTGTGGTGTAAAAATCCTGTGTGATAATGACTCACATGGAACTACACCATCACCAATTCTATCTTCACAATTACCTATTGCTATCACAAATCATCTTCATCCTTTTGGTCTGCACTTGGAATTTGTGGAAGGATTTTCGTGCTCAGGCCTGAAGTACAATGTTGATTCAGCTTGATTTGTTTCCCTTGATCAGCTTCTAGTTTCCTTGCTGTGTAAAAATGCTCTATGTTATCTTCCCTCTATTATATTTATTTTTTTATTTTGCTTTAAAATGTCTGCTGATACTGGGCACATATCTTTTTCTGTACAAGTAAATCTATATGTATGTTGATGCAGGATCCTGTCAGGTGAAGCAAAAAAGAAATTGATTCCATTGAAATATTAATGAGCGTGCAAATTTGTATTGTTATTATGTATTATTGCAGGCACAGCCCCGCTGGCAGGTAACAGCGTCGGCGCGGACAAGAAGTTCCTGGAGAAATACATGCCCGAGTTTCTGGCCCACCTCCACTACCGCGTTGTCGATGTCTCTACCGTTAAGGAGCTATGCCGGTGTGAAAAAATAGATAATGTATCTATACATTCTTATAGTTTTGTTAAATAATAGCATCCGTTTAGTGTATTTATTCAATGGATTTACTTTCAGCTCACTTTTCTGGTGAGAAGATATGACAAATAGTTTCTAATTGAGTGTGTTTTTATCAGAGAACTGTGGCTGTTTTGAATAATTCTATCGAAATTATTTAATTGAGCGGATTTTCTTCAGAAAAATGTTAACATTATAGACGATAATTGATTCTGTTTTGACTCGTTTGACGCTTCATATATTGTTCAATTTAAATAATTTTTTTATTGATTTTTATCTGGGTAGGTATTTTGCTGAGTGTCTTCGTTGCATAATTACTTCGCATCTCTATAAATGTGGGGTGAAAATGTTCAGGTTTATGAAATACCTTTGGTAAGCCTTCTTACTTGTTGAATTTTCTTATTCATGAATTGCATAGAATTTTATCAAACAATCTCAATTGCTTTGATCTTTGAACTTTAATATAGAACTAACGACATGTTTAATTTCACATCTTAACACGGAAATTCCATTGAAGTGTAACTTGTAAATAATAGAAGAGGTTACTATAAAATTGTGCTAGATTTTACGTTCAGAAAGTGCGTTAAAATGCTTCAAGATACTTTGAAAATGAATAAAAATATTTATTTAACATCCACAATTAAAAAAATTCTGTGTTACTTCAGAAATTGAATTAATTTAAACTTTTTGTAGAGCATTGGTCATCGTTGAATAATGAAACTAATTGGATTAATTGATATAAAAATAATTGATGAATTGATAGCAATTAGTCCATAAATTACTATTAGGTATATTAATTGCTACATTGATATCTCATTAATTGAAGAATTGTTTTTAAATTGATTGATGAAGTTTTATCGAATTAATTGATAACTTAATATTACATTAATTAAAGTATTGATTATAAATTAACGAACGGATTGATATTAAAATGATAAATGAATTGCTGATACAGGCGCTGGTATCCTGAAGCTTTCAGGCCGCCTTTTGATGAAGTTATATCGAATTAATCGATAACTTGATATTACATTAATTTACTGATTGATATCACCTTAATTTACAGATTGATTCTAAATTAATTGATGAATTGATATTAATATTAATAAATGAATTGCTGATACAGGCGCTGGTATCCTGAAGCGTTCAGCGCGGCCCCTGAGAAGGCCGTGTCGCACCGCGCGCTGGAGGACATACGAGAGAGCGTCAAGGAGCTCGCTTACTACCGCTCTGCCATCTTCAAATAATATCTTATTAATAAAATACTTACATGGAATTAACGTGATCTTATTTATACTTATTTCCTGCTCTATTACAGAGTAAAAAAATAGTGAGTGATGATCGTTCTACCATCCTCTTGGGAAGGCAATGATTGGTTTCGGATTAAATGACTTCAATATCACAGCTGCATATTTCGTTTAATAATAATCTTTGGGGTAATTTCCCGTTCGTTATGTTTATTTTTTATTATTATTGTGATTATTATAAATAATTATTAGAAATATGTCTCAAGTTTGAAGATAATACCGACCCGCATGTTGACGTTTATGTGTAAAAAACGTTTGTTTATTCTGATAGATTTTAGGGATCGTCCGCATTCTTCAAGTGACACTAGCGTGTGTCTGCGCTCACTTATTAACAGCTGCATTGTAAGGACAATAAAAATCGTTTGTTGATTTAATCGAGTGCTTTCATTATAAGTCTAAACATTCGGTTTGAGTTTCACTTTCTTTCTTAATGATGAGTAAATTACTACGATGGTTCGAGGGAAGAGTTCTACATTAAATTTACTAAAAATAAATGAGTATGCCTTGGAATGAAACATACGATTTAAAAACTGGGTAAAGGATTTAAACTTCTTAAAGTATGGGCTCATTCAGTGGCTCAGCGTTGCCAGCACCGCGTACAGCGTCTCCGCTGATGCGGCAGACGTCAGTGGAAGTCAGCTGCAATTGGCCACTGACCTTCAGTGGATCACGGGCGTCATTCGGACCTGTATTAGCATTACTCAAGCTGTGTATTGTGACATTCGGACTGAGGTTGGTGGCGTTCACTCGCGTTGCACTGACAATCGCGCTCGGAGTAACTGCCATCTGAGTACCCTGGGAACTCTGAGAACCATTGAGCTCTGAAATCGTCTCCTGAGAACCAATTTGAGCACCACTGAGCTCAGACGGTGTGCTTTGTGAACCCCTGAGTCCTGAAAAGTTGCTATGCGAACCACTGAATTCTGGAGGCATAACTTGAGAACCTCTTAGAAGAGCTTGAGTCCCATTGATATCGGCATGTGTGCTCTGAGTGCCGCTGAACCCAGAGTGAGAACCACTGAGCCCTTGATGTGCCCCACTTAGCCCCGGATGAGTCCCCGCGATGGGGGGGAAGGCCCCGGCCAGCAGCAGCTGGGGGTTGAGTGCAGCTCTCTCCCCAAGGAGGAAGCCGCGGTCCCCACCTGCCGGGGCTGTGAAATGCACCGTAATTAATTCACTGAATTATGAATGCACTGTAATTAATTCCCTGAATAGTTCCGCTTTAAAGTAATTTCCTTAATTACAGGATAATTGTGACCAATTGTCCTAACAGACGCACAAACTAAAGTCTATCACATACAGCATAGTGAATAGGTTGAAAAAAAATTGAAGAAATTAGTGCCAGTTTGCAGTTCTTCATTAGTAAGTCAATTAATGATTAAATATCAGATGACTAATCACCTTCACCGCCGTCAGCACGCAGACCAGCTGGATTGAGCAGCTAATTTTGTAAGGCTAATTTATTAATTTATTTGTAATCGGTGCTCATTACATGGAAATTTGGACGTTTACTATATTAAATATTAGTACGATGTTACATTTACCTGTATACTCTTTATAAAAGCCTATAGCAATGCGAATGTACGTAAAAATGCCCCACTTATCAGTATTCCAGGTTTTTACATGATAACCTCTCATTTAATATAGTATAAAATAATATAATAAGCTATAAACTAAAAAAACTGCGCTGCAACTTATCCACGCGACAAAATTTCTTCTCGCTTCGAATCACCGACATGTGGAACAGCCTCACCGATGACATCGTTGGCACTCCAAGTATGAACGCGTTCAAGAACAGACTAGATAAAGCTATGGAAAAATATATGTTCAGATTTGAAATGCCTAGCACCATCTCGAAACCGGTGGAAGTCTAGTAGCTACTTCAAACTATCGTCAGTCATGAAAAGATCCGATCAAATGACACGAGTTTAGATCTATGAACAAGGCACGAAAAGGAAAAGAATCGGCGACAGGCCACATCAGTCCTACACTTCAGCGCCGACATCGCTATGTTATGTTATGTTAATATCGCGGTTTCAGACTAGCTAGACTATTTTATCTTGTCCCTGTTTCTTAACTACCCGACAACCTTGCCGATTTTGACAGAATTTTCACAACCAGTTACGGGTTTCGAACCCCCAAATCGCTGTTCTAATCTTGGTGATCTTATTCACTCGGTAACCGCGAGCTTACAGATATTCGGGCATCGCGGGAACATTGCGAATGAAAGACGAACGCGGGTATTAAATTTTGGTTCCTGAGCAGGTGCCCTCCTGGGAGGCTGGTTCCTGAGCAGGTGCCCACCTGGAAGGCAGGTTCCTGATCAGGTGCCCACCTGGGAGGCTGGTTCCTGAGCAGGTGCCCACCTGGGAGGCTGGTTCCTGAGCAGGTGCCCACCTGGGAGGCTGGTTCCTGAGCAGGTGCCCACCTGGGAGGCTGGTTCCTGAGCAGGTGCCCACCTGGGAAGGAGAGGGCGAGTGGAGGTGGGGTGCTGTAGCCCGCCTGGGCGACGGTGTGCTGGTTGGGGTGACCCACCGCGGGGTTGAACAGCCTGCCCGACATGTTTGTCATGATGAGCATGTTTTATATATATTATTAAATGTCATAATTTTATCTATACTGGTACAAGATATGACTATAATCTGGATCATAATGCACCTGTTGATTTTATGCGAATAATTACACTATATTATAAACACACGGCCGATATTACCGCACTATTAGATTCACTGGCAGCAGCAGTTAGCGTTGTAAATAACTGATGCTAGGTGAGTATCACTAGTCAACTAGTACTCCTCTACCAGAGTCTGTCCCCTAGTAGATGACACGATACTCCCCCTACCAGAGTCTGTTCCCTAGTAGATGACTTGTTACTCCCCCTACCAGAGTCTGTTACCAGAGTCTGTCCCCTAGTAGATGACTTGTTACTCCCCCTACCAGAGTCTGTCCCCTAGTAGATGACACGATACTCCCCCTACCAGAGTCTGTTCCCTAGTGGATGACTTGTTACTCCCCCTACCAGAGTCTGTCCCCTATTAGATGACATGTTACTCCCCTACCAGAGTCTGTTCCCTAGTAGATGCCATGTTACTCCCCCTACCAGAGTCTGTCCCCTAGTAGATGACATGATACTCCCCCTACCAGAGTCTGTCCCCTAGGAAATGTCCCCTACCAGAGTCCGTCCCCTAGGAAATGTCCCCTACCAGAGTCTGTCNGCGTTGTAAATAACTGATGCTAGGTGAGTATCACTAGTCAACTAGTACTCCTCTACCAGAGTCTGTCCCCTAGTAGATGACACGATACTCCCCCTACCAGAGTCTGTCCCCTAGTAGATGACATGATACTCCCCCTACCAGAGTCTGTCCCCTAGTAGATGTCCCCTACCAGAGTCTGTCTCCTATCACCATGGGGCGGGGGGCCAGCAGCCCCATGGAGGCGTAGTATTGCTGCGCCAGAAGCTCCAGGTCGTTGGTGTACTTGCGCTTCCACTTGGTGCGTCGGTTCTGGAACCAGATCTTGATCTGCGGGACACAGAACCGGTTCAGAGGCGCACTATCAGAAATAGTTAATAGTTCGTAACTCCGTCAGCTAATCGCTGACGGTCTTAGAAGCTTAGTCCACCAATCACAGAGGTGAAATCAACCGTTCCGTGTACTTAGACTGCTACGTGTATTTAGCCATCTAGGTATAATTAGGCCGCTACGTGTACCTTGGCTGCGACGTGTACTTATAGACTGCTACGTGTATTTCGGCCGCTACATGTAATAAGGTCGCTACGTGAAACTAAGCCGCCACGTTTAATTGGGCCACTACGTGTACTTAGGCCGCTACGTGTACTCAGGCCACTACGTGTACTTAGGCCGCTACGTGTATAACCAAGCCAATACTTGTACTTAGGCCGCTACGTGTACAAAGCCGCTACGTGTACTTCGGCCACTACGTGTACTTAAGCCGCTACGTGTACTTAGGTCGCTACGTTTTCTTGGTCCTTCTTGCACTACGTGTACGTGTACGCAAGCAAGTATTGATATCGCGGCATCAGGTTCACATTGAGCTACTTTTGGTAGCGGGTTGATGGTTAGAATTCGTATTGATTAACTTCGGAGATGAATTAATGCTTGAATACTGAATGGAGGAGATAATGATGATGCAACGTTAATGCTTTAGATAATGCAACGGATGATGATGCGAAGGGTGCTAAAAACAGGCAACGATGACGATGCAATAATAGATAGTGTAACGAAAGTTTAGTATGCAAATATAGATAATGGAGCGGCTTATAACAAAGCAAGGAGAATTAATACGAATGAAGATAATGCCAATGATGTTGACAAACAACGGATGATGCCTGAACAAATGGACGTATATAACGGTATATTATTGAGAAGCAATAGCTGCTCATAATTGTTATGGTTTGTATTCAATATTAGATTTTATATATGCTATATATTTCTGCTAAATAATAATAAATACTTTTTTATAGTGACTCATTTTGTTTTGAAATAAAACTCTGAAACGTTCTTATGCGACTCTAGAGTTGTCTGTACTCTCTTTTAAAATATTCCTGCATTCACATAATTTCTCTCCTTACTTCATTCCTTTACAATATTCTGAAATTCAATCAGTTATGAATAGGGAGATTTTTATTATGAATGGCTCTCGGTGAGCCGGAGCTGCTTAAAGAGCGTGAGCCGTTTGCTCACGCTCAGATACCTGAGCAGAGAGTACGAATAAAGTACCCGGGGTTTAAAATAGAGGGACAATACACGTTTCGTTGCTCTACAAAGTAAGAATGGAAGTAATGATAAAAGATAAAAATAGGAAGACGCAAATGTGAGTATCACGAAATTCAATCAGGGAAAGAGGAGAATAAAGACAAGATTTCTCAATAAATGGGTCGGGTTGAGGAAAGAGAACAAATAAAAGTGATGAAACAGCGGTTCGAAATACCTCACTGAAAGTCTCCGTATAAACTTTGTTGTTAACGTCCTGGAAAATGTAAACTTTGAAGCGTGTATCCATAAAATGTTTGTATTAACATTGAATTACGCGCAAATAAATATTGTTGAAAATGATTACGGTACACTTACCATATTTCAATCCTATTCTAAATGATACATTGGGGATATTTACTAACAAATTTTGAGGTCTTCGACACTTCCTTTCGCTCGCATTCATGCTATAAAACCTTTATTCGCGAAAAACTATCATAAATGCATATATACTCGCATGTGGCATACTTGATGTGTATAAGCTTTACTGAAAGCAATATTTGTTGGATAGTTTCTTCATAATGTTTTTTACTTGCATGATCATATTATTGCCTATTGCTACATTATTGCCTATTGCTACATTATGCCTATTGCTACATTATTGCCTATTGCTACATTATTGCCTATTGCTACATTATTGCCTATATTGCTACATTATTGCCTATTGCTACTTTATTGCCTATTGCTACATTATTGCCTATTGCTACATTATTGCCTATTGCTACATTATTGCCTATATTGCTACATTATTGCCTATTGCTACATTATTGCCTATTGCTACATTATTGCCTATTGCTTATACATTATTGCCTAGTACTACATTATCGCATCCATACATCATCACATCCAAACATCATCTCATCCATACATCATCTCATCCATACATCATCTCATCCATACATCATCTCATCCATACATCATCTCATCCATACATCATCTCGTCCATACATCGCCTCATCCATACATCATCTCATCCATACATCATCTCATCCAGTCGCTTTAAGGATGTCCGACGCTCAAACGAATAAAAATATTTATTAACGCAATGATGAAATTGCTGTTGCTACATTATTTTAACGAATTACTAACTGTTTAATAAATGTTACCTCATTTAATTTATAGAGCAATAAATGGGAATAGGATTTATTACAATTGCAAAATCGGGAACATTACAACCTACGGACTCCACCACCCACATTTGCATGCTTCTAGTTGCTTACATAGCAAGAAAAGAAACGCTCTTAAATGAAAATACTTTTATGTGTTTTATTTTAAATAATTAGTATTTCTTATAATAATTTTGCCAATTGAGCGGCCCGCTTGTCTATTGACCTGTACGTAATTTTACCCTCCATTTTTTGATATAAGGTAGTTTTGTCCTCGAAAATTATACTGGCCCATTTTACTTTTACTGGCCCAAGATTTTGTTTTACGAAGAGTAGATCGTACATATGTTTAGCTATTCTACAAGTGTAATTGATTTCGGCACATTCTATTTAAATTCTTAAAAAAAAGTAATTCTAATTCTTAAAAAGTACCTTTTAAAAAAAGTAATTATGTTAACATTACCTAATATATAATAATGGTTGCAATAAGAGACATGCATTAGAATTTACCTTTTCTCAAAAAATAAGCTATTAAGCCAATAATTTTTCTTTTGCGTTAATTTTTGAAAAATAATTCATATTACGGCCATAAAGTATTTCTTATCATAAAATGAAAATATTCGTGAATGTTTCTTACGAAACGCTCGCAATTTCTCGCAGTGCGAAGGGTTTCATTTTTTGGAAGCAAGGGATTGATTAATATTGGTTTAAGGAGTATGTTGCAGTTAGAAATACTACATTGGAATAAAACCGCTCAACTCTTTCAGTAAAAATAAAAATTCATCCAGATAAATGTTGTAATGCCACATTGGACTATACTTATTATCACTGCGATCATGAAGGCAGTGAGGGTGCTTTAAAATTTGTAAAAAATGCAACAAATGCAAATTTGGCGGGAACGTGTTAGCGCAAGCGGATTATATGAATGAATTAATATTATCGTCGTTGTAGACGAGCGATTGCCAATGAGGGTATATTGCTTCGAAGTTATACCAAAGAGAATATCTAATCTATCAATATGCATCAATACAGCACAATAATACCAGAATAATTTCAAAATGTTCATAAACAAGCATATAATCTAAGTTTTTTTTTAAATTTTCCTATGTATTTTTACAGAATTCTGTCATTGCCATAATCATTAAAATGCGCGTTTGAGAAAATTGGTGTAGTTCGGCAGAAGCTTTTATTTTATGCAAGTTTGATTGAAGACCAGAGCATGTTTTTTAATTAATAATAATCTTTTATTCGTTTTGTCAATGAGTCGAAAAAAATTTCTTGCTGGCGCCGGGAGATCAAAAAGCAGGTTACCAATTGACATTTTAATGGAATGCGACGTTTCGAAAATACAATTTCATTATCAAGCATTATTAGTAATAAGCATGCACTGGTATTCAATCAAACTTGTATGAGAAAATGTAAATGTATGTATGTGATTTGCGCATATTCTGTATCACAAATATCTGGACAGGATCTCAAAATCCAAATTTGCACAGAATCGAAATAATATTTCCTTTAAAATACATAAGATTCCAGTTTCTGTTTTGAATAAGATGTTATCCAGAAACAGGAGCTCTATATATAAAATCATACCCAAATCAGAAAATCACCCTAGAGTAAATAAAAAAAATTTTCAGCTGAAAATTTTTTTTCCAAAGTAAATAAAATATATTCCATTGAATAATTCTCCCAAGAGCACATAAAATAATTCCAAAAGGGAAATAAATTAAGTCCATATAGAGAAGATGAAAAATATTTCCATAGTTAATAATGCATTCCATTTTGAACAAATTTTTTCAGTTAAAATATTCTCATTATAAATGAGAAAAAAGTGAATATCGCATTCCACTTTGAACAAATTTTTCCAGTTGAAATATTCTCATTGTGATAATAAATGAGAAAAAATGAATATTGCATTCCATTCTGAACAAAATTTTTCTGTTCAAATATTCTCATTGTGATAATAAATGAGAATAAAATACTTTCAATAAAATGTCTAGAAAATTTCCACAGCGCGTGCGTCTGCTCACCGGAGTCGCTGCCCGGAAGCTCGCACGACGTCGTGACGCCACCGCCATTTTCGGTCCCCGTTATTTGCAAAGAATCGAAATAATATTTCCTTAAAAATACATAAGATTCCAGTTTATTTTTTGAATAAGATGCTATCCAGAAAGAGGAGCTCTATGTATAGAATCATACCCGAATCAGAAAAATCACCCCGAAGCGAATGAAAAATTTTCAGCAGAAAAATTTTTTCCAGAGTAAATAAAATATTTTCAATTGAAAAATTCTCCTAGGAGCAAATAAAATATTTCCATAGGGAAATAAGTTAAGTCCCCAGAGTAGATGAAAAATATTTCCATAGTGAATATTGCGTTCCGTTTTAAACAAATTTTTCCAGTTAAAATATTCTCATTGTGATAATAAATGAGAAAAAAGTGAATATCGCATTCCACTTTGAACAAATTTTTCCAGTTAAAATACTCTCATTCTGATAATAAATGAGAAAAAAGTGAATATTGTATTCCATTCTGAAAAATTTTTTTCAGTTAAAATATTCTCATGATGATAACAAATGAGAATGAAATATTTTCATTAAAATTTATAGAAAATTTCCACAGCGCGTGCGTCTGCTCACCGGAGTCGCTGCCCGGAAGCTCGCACGACGTCGTGACGCCACCGCCATTTTCGGTCCCCGTCTCGTCCCCGTCCGTGGTCGACATTCCGTCCATCTCGTCCTCCAATGGTGGATGAATCCCTGGATTTTCTTCATCCTCAGTGATGGATGCAAGCTTACGCTTCCCATCGACTTTTCTCTGGTAATCCAAGTCTTGGAAGCAGCTGGGGGAAGTCGGAAGTTGCGAGGTCTGGGGGACTCCGAAGTGCAGGTCGTGTGGTGAAAGTTGGCGTCTCAAAAGTTGCGGTTCGAAACCTGGATGAACTTTAGGCGGATGAAGGTGAACAAACTCCGAACTTTGCAGAGCTGGAGGGCTGAAGAACGACGGCCGTGGCCTGAACAGGTTAATTGTTCGATTAAAGATACCGTGATGGATGAGTGGTAGTGCGGTGGTTGAGGATACCACAGCTCCTGCCATGGTGGGGTCGTCAGTAGTACTAGGAGGGGGATAGACGATGTCCGATGTGGAAGATGCTGCAGGTGATGTGGAAGGTTTGATGTGACAGGAAATATTGGGAGATGTTTTGCATGATAGTAAAGAGTCAATAGAAAAGTTGGTGGCGTCAGAAAATGTGCTTTTGACTGACTTTGGTCGGACAATTTCTGGTAGTTTTGCGAGATCTTCCGACGACGTCGGGGTGAGAGGAGGAGTCGCCATATTGGCAATGTTATTTCCGGTTTCTGTAAAATCTAAAGGAAACCGGGAAACTAAATCTGTTTCGCTATAATTTTTCCTTTAAATATCCCTCTTTTTCGTTGTAAGTGCCGATAAAAAAAAGTTTTGAAGTGCAGGGGTAATTGAATATTTTAGGAGCCTATAATGCAGGAGTTACCATGAAAGTATTCATTTTTGTTAATACTTGAGACAACTCATTGTTCAGTACTGAGAGTAGTTGTCACATCCCACCATCTTAATTGATACGGCTGTTATTACCCCCATCAATTAATATGTCTTTTAATACCCTGTGAAAGTTCCACATGAGGTCTTTATCTGCATCGAAACAACTGTGATCTTCCTCACAATCAAGGCAACTGAACTGTCGTAATCGGCACAATTGTGGTCCCTCTCGAGTAAAAACCGTTGTCTTCCTCACAATCAGCGCAACTGCGGTCACTCTTGGAAACTGTGGTTCCCTCTGAAGGCGACAGATGCGACCTCCCTCACAATAGACACAACTGTGGCTACCCTCACTTGCCAGGGCCGGGACTGAGGGCAGGGGCGACGTGCAAGAGGCGGGGTCTGTGAAGCTGTCACATGCAGAGGTAGGCGGGCCTGAAGGCCTGTGGGTGCTCACTAATTGGATGGTTTCCTCAAGAAATATTACTTCCAAGGCGACAATAATGCCATCTTCGTGGCACCATCTGCTTTTCTGCAGATGTTTGAAGTTACCTTTTGTGAAACTCTAACGAAACGCTATCTTCCTATTATCCAGAACATGATTATTTCCTTATTACCTGAGAATTTAATTATGCGTTTCAGGGTAAACCGAATCAATTCGCATTAGTTTTAATACTCAATTACCGCTGGCTGGTCAAAACCTGGCCATGCGTAATTCACCTTTTATTTTTAATTGAGACGAAAAGGGAGCTCGTGGCCATAAATCTGTGCCTTGCAAGTGAGCTCTTCTAATGGCAAGACGGTCGCGTTTTACGACGCCTGAGCATATGAAATAATTCACATTCCATTCTCACCATTAGCGACTCATGGTGCTGAACAGTGCGTATAATTCACTGCTTATGCCATACGTCGCGCGCGGTCGCGGAGCAGAAATTTGTCTCTTGCGTCGTAGGTTTTTTGTGTCGTGTTTTTTTACATACTGCTTAGTGGTCCGCGTATATTATTGTCTATAGGATTGCAGGTCTCTAAAAACCCGAGGTCTTTTGGGTTGTGCACTGTAGTTATGGTGCAGTGTTTTATCGTATCTAAGACAGCGTTGTTTATACACGACGTCTTGGGATGTGCACTGTAGTTATGGTGCAGTGTTTTATCGTATCTACGATAACTGGTTGTTTATACGCGACGTGTTGGGTTTTTACACAATACTTAATGATGTGAAGTATATAGTATCTGAGATCAAATTTTTTATTCCACGACTTCTTGGGATTTTACTAGGCGTCTATAGGATGCCGCATTGTATCGTATTTAAATAGCAAGTCTTTTAACCCGACGTCCTGGGTTTTGCGTGCACGCTTACTTGGTTCATTGGTTGGATTTGTGGACATTGCAGCTAGTCTCAGCAGGCCCAGCTTGTGTCTTTCAACTATTGATGAACGTGTGTTATTTTGCATTGTATATTCAAATATCTATCGTGGTTTAAACGGCCAACCATCTTTAAGACGCAAATATGTGGTATTTATTTTACAGACATGCTTTCTCGAGTATATCAAGCTACAATATATAATGATATGCTCGTGTATTCACCGAGACATTCGTATTCAACCTAAATAAAAAACTGTAATTTTTCGTTCACATCATCAATAGAACTATTTTTGGTAAGGCGGTCGAAGATCTTAAGCCATATATGGTATCGCAGTCAAGCCTGAGCCTTCTACATTTACTTTTTTTCTGTAAAAATGCAGATAATTGGAGACTGAAAATTGCAGTGATAGTAAGGAAATATTTTTAAGGCGAGGAAGTATATTTTGGAAATGATATAGAGTAAAGTAAATGAAAAAATGATGGAAAGAGTCAAGTGCGTGCATGTACACCAGTAATGACTATGCATGCTTTATCTTCAGTGCATACTCGTATAACTCGACTTTGCATGAGGAGTATATATATACTACGACCTGCTATTGAAACCCGTACTTAAACCTTATAATGGCCAATCTATTTCTCAATTGTATACCAAAAAGTAATAATTATTATTATTTTACTATATATTATCACTTATAATCGCAGAAATTAATAATTTAAATTCATTTGTGTCGATTGCATTGATTAACTGAGGCTTTAAAAATAGCATGTTTTAGCTCATATGCAGATAACGTCGCGTGGGTTAAGGGAGTTCCATATATATTATATACAATGCCAACAATTAATATAATATATATAATATATATATATATATACAACCAATATAATATAATACAATACAGCCAATGCCAACAATTAAGGCCGCAATGAACATCGATTGAACACTTACAGATTTTAAGATGTCTTACAAACATTAAAATAACGTTACCGCCTAAATTCCGGAAATTAAAAGAAAAACAACTCAACAGAACATTCTAAATTTTAGATATTGAAAAACAACATATTCGGGTGTTATCAGATTAAAAAATGTGCTTTGATTAGTAATTTGTTTATTGTATTCAATTTATATTCTTTTATTTGCATCTCTGAAATTATCTAGGTCATTATTTTTGTACTTTTTATGCTTTTCGCTTTGCGTAGATTTTCAAATTTTTCAATGAAGCGGCTTGATTAATTTCTTTCAATAGCGTATTTAGACGAAAACTATTATTCTTCTGATTTACGCTTTGCATATATAGAGGACGATGTTTATATAGAGATACGACTTGATTGATTAATCAATTGCTTTATTATTTTTATTTAGCTACAACAACAAGGAATAACAAATTAGAACCATGTTATAAGACGAGCACAAACAGAGTCTGGTCATAAGTGTCACCTCACGACGTCGCTGCCACGTGTCTCTTCTAACGACCACACGTGTTAAGTATCCAATCACTTGTCTAATCACCAGCGAATTATTGGCGGCTGACAGTTGATCAATGAGTGGCCGCCGATAAAACCACTCATAAATTTTAATACTGACAGAAACGTTTGCATAACTGGCTCAAAAAACAGGAATTTCACAGCAATGCAATGCAGAGGTTCAGGTTTAACCCAAATCTGGCACTCGGATGGCCGTGACAGCGGAGATGTTTGTGTTGGAATGTCTGATGTTCAGAGCGCAAAATGAGGATGTCATTGATTAAATAAATGATAAAAATAGTATAATGCCAACAGGTCTATAAATAACAGACTTCTGGATAATATTAATTTAAGTTTGCCGCTTGCGTCCTCTCATTCAGAGGACTGCTTGCATATGTGATGCTTGCTCATATATTTGGGCATAATATTACTTCAATATAATTGAACATCATACCGCATCACTTTTACTCCAATTGTTGGTAGTATCTGATGAATAAATTACATATCTTGCAATGAGATGGTGATATTTCATTAACAATTTTAGAATTAAATAAATATTTTTATTATTGGTAAAATAATTGTTGCATTATTCTATTTGATTAATAGTCAAACTTAATAACATTATATATTATTGTGGTTAATATTACAATATCAGGGTGATATTATGAAATAATATAAACGTTACAAAAAGCGATTTATTATATAGCAAACCTCTGGAATATATCTATATATGCGAGCAG